AATGGGGTGGGGGTGGCACCGTGGGGCATCAGAGTCCTGGGATTGTTTGCTCTTTTTCAAAAACACTTCTTCCTCTTTTCCCCAAATACACTGTTAGCTGCTGCTCTGCACCCCCTGCCCCCACCGCCAGAGATTCTTTGAGGTAGTGAGCTGCTAGGTTTGGGGCGAGGTATTCTATCCCTCAGGTGTTCTAGAGTTACAGGTCCAGAACATCCTCTTCTGTAAAAGCCTTTGTAAAGTCCTCATGCTGCTGTCTCTGCCCGAAATCCACCCCACCCGCTCCGTCCACATGAATTCTTGCTCATCCTTCAAGTCCTGGTTCGGGTATTACCTACTTTGTTAAGACTTTCTTGCCTTTCTAAGACCGTTTTTCTTGATGCACCCACATCCTTCGTTTATACTCGTTACATTTTATAAGTGCTTATTTTTGAGTGTGGCTTTCCCAGTACGATGTATGTTCTTCCCAGGTAGAGATCATGTCTTATTTTACCTTTGTATCTCCTGTGCGTAGACCAGGGCTAGCATATGGTAAGTGGGGAAGTGTCTGTGCTTGAAAAGGAGAAGGGAGAGATGGAAGCTTCTGTCTCCCTCTCCCTCTGCCCTGCCCCCCGCTTGCGAGCGTGTTCTCTCTCTCAAATAAATAAAATCTTTAAAAAAAAAAAAAGTATCTGCTAAGTAAAATTGATCAGCCTGAAGGAACCTGTAGATGAGGAAAGTTGTCTTGGTGAGTTTTGAATCAAGCCATGACCTGAAAAGGATAGTACTGATCCTGTCAACTTCTGCTTAAGCTCTTTCCAGTCACGCCTTCCCAGTCATGATGGTAAAGCCCTGTCCCATCAGCCTGGCAGACAGGCCCTCCGTGTGGTCACCACTGCTGGGTTCCTCCCCGTTCCCTGAAGGCCCTTCGCTTGCACACTCCATTCCAGCCAAGCCAGCCGACTCGCTTCCCCACTTGCTCCTTTGACCTGGTGGCTCTTGGAATGCTTCTCCTGTCCTCCTGCCTCCTCACTGCTGAGGATTCCCCTCAGGAGTGGCCGCCGTTGGCAGATGTCTCCCAGCCTCCCAGCCACTCACTTCCAGTTGGGACAAAGCTCCCCTTCTGAGGCCTCTACCCTGCCTCCTCCTTACCCTGGTGCTGTTTTGTGAGGATATGCTTCTTCGTCATGTCTTTTCTCTGTCTCTATTTCAGACTAGCCTTTCACATTCCCGGGGGCAGGGACCTGATCGAATTTGGTCTGTGTTGCCGGCACCCAGCCCATAGGCAGATGTACAGCATGTATTCACCGGATGTGTACCAAATGAATACACTCAAAGTGATCACTAGTTTAATGTCCTTGTGTCCCTTCTGCGCGGCCTCCGCTGCTGATGGTGCACATCGGGTCCCGGTTGGTTGGTTGGTTTCAGGTCCTTTGAAATATCCTTTTGCAATTTTCATCTCCAAAGACCTTCTCACAGGAACAGGACATTGCTGGGTCCGTGGTAAGTTGGAGTCTTTTGGCCCAGTCTGGACCACAGGTTTCTAGGAACACACTGAGAGCACTTTCTTTGTACTTCTAATGGTTCTCTTTCCCCTCCAATGTTGATGAGAGTTGAGTGATTTAGCAGCTATTTTCTGCTTCTCTGTGATGTGCTGGACATTGTTTAGGAGCTAGGAATACAGAGATTTAAAAAAAAAAAACAAACCACAGTTTCTACCCTAAAGGATCTCCTTGACTAAACAAGGAGATGTACAAGTACCCGGGTGATTTGAATGTGATGTGATACGTTCTTTGATAAAAGTAAGCACAGAACGCTTTAGAAATGTCTATGAGTGGTTTATGACCTGGGGAGATCATGTCAGATATGCTTCCAGACGTGTGAGCTCTGAACTGATTCTGGAGGGACAGATGAAGGGAGGTTTGAGAAAGAATGACATTTTTTACTCAGGTACCTGCAGTTTCATATTTTCTTCAAAATAAGATTCTTCGACAGTGTTTTTTTTTTTTTTTTTTGTTTTTAAAGATTTATTTATTTATTTGAGAGAGAGAGAATGAGACAGAGTACGTGAGAGGGGGGAGGGTCAGAGGGAGAAGCAGACTCCCCGCCGAGCAGGGAGCCCGACGCGGGACTCGATCCCGGGACTCCAGGATCATGACCCGAGCCGAAGGCAGTCGCTTAACCGACTGAGCCACCCAGGTGCCCCGACAGTGTGTTTTTAAATGGGAACTGAATAAGGCGTTTTTATATAATTGTAATCCTCAGTATACGGGTTGCCTTCGGTGGTTTCTAATTCCTGTACCTCAGATTCCATAACCAGCCTGGTACTCAAGGCCACTGTTTATTCTCAATTCTCCTTTCCAACTATAGCTGTTTAATACTGTAGATCAGGGGGTCACCCAGCCTTGGCCTACAGGTCAGACTCAGCCCCCTGCCTGTTTTTGTTATAGCCCTTAGCTCTGATTGGTTTTTACACTTTTTAAAGGATTGTAAGACCAACCAACCAAAGACCATGTACAGAGACCATCTGGCCTGTCAAGCCAGAGTATTTTCTACAGGGCCCTTTAGACCTTTGCTCTTTCTAACTGCAGTGCTCCCTAGTGGTTACATATGTACCGTATGCCACAGGCTTTCCCACCTCTGCAACTCTGCTTCTGCTATTCTCCCTTTTTTAATGTGCTCATTCATATATTAATTCACTTTCACATTCAACAAATTGGGCAGTTGTTATATATAAGCCACCATTCTGGGTTTGGGGTTCTGGGAATATAACAGTGACAGCACATGGAAACGTAATTATGTCAGTACCGGGTAAGGAGAGAGAGAGGGACACCGGTTAAGAGGGGGAGGGAGTACTAGCTCTTATAGAGTGGTCAGGGGAGGCCTCTCTTATGAGGTGGCATTTGTCCCAGGTCCTCAGGAACGACCATGAGGATACCTGGAGAACATCTTAAGCAGAAGGACCAATGTGTGGAAAGGCACAGAGGGACTGCACGGAAGTCCGTCTGTCTAGAGTGGAGCAAGAGTGTCAGGAAAGGGAGGAAGAAGGATTAGACAGGTAGGGTGGGGAGAAGAACAAATCATAGCGGGCTTCATAGGGCACTGAAGGCTGAGTTTTACTCTTAGTGAATTGGGAAGCTGTTAAATAGATTTGAGCAGAGGAGTGACATGGTCAGATTGATGTTTTTAGAATATCACTTTGCTCCTGGGTAATGCTGGAGTATCCAGTAAGCCCCAGGATCACAGTGGCTTAACACAACGAAGGTTAATGTTCCTTCATGCTCCTAACTCAGTAAGAGACTGTAAAGGGCTCTCTACCACAAAGCCACTTAGCATCCAGGCTGATGGAAGCTCTACCGTCTCTCATATTGGTGCCATCTGGGACCTGCCCCCTCCTCAATGCCATGGCTGGGAAAGAACGGAGACTGGATCATGATGCATGGGGGTTATATCTTGCCTTGGCTCATAAAAGAAATGTGTCTCCTCTGCTCAGATTTCCTTGGCTGGAACGTGGCTCATGGTAGCCGCAAGGGGATTGGCAGCTGTGGTGGGGCCCATGGAATGCTTGTGTTTGGTGAGCACTGTGCTCTCTGCTATAGCAGGAGACCAGTTAGAACCATCACAGTACAAGAGAGGCGATGTGGCTTAGAACTGAGGGGTGGCCATGAACATGGGGGAAACTGGGTAGAGTCTGGATGTGTTTCAAAGGTAGACCCAGTAAGATTCGCAGCTGTCAGGGATGACTCCTCAATTTCTTCCCCTTCCCACCATCTTATTTCTTATACTAAATATGATTTCTTTGAGCCTGGCTCGTGTTTTCTCTCATTTTTCCACAGGGCCTACAAAATAGATGCTGAATACATACTTTTTGAGTAGCAGAACAATTTAGGCACTTTAACATTATTTTACAAAATCTAATTTTTTTTATTAACATAAAATGTATTATTTGTTTCGGGGTACAGGTCTATGATTCATCAGTCTTACACAATTCACAGCGCTCACCATAGCACATACCCTCCCCAGTGTCCCTCACCCAGCCACCCCATCCTTCCCACCCCCCACCACTCCAGCAACCCTCAGCTTGTTTCCTGAGATTAAGAGTCTCTTAAGGTTTGTCTTCCTCTCTGGTTTCATCTTGTTTCATTTTTCCCTCCCTTCCCCTATGATCTTCTCTCTTGTTTCTCAGAGTCCTCATAGCAGTGAGATTATTTGATACTTGTCTTTCTCTGATTGACTTATTTCGCTTAGCACAATACCCTCTAGTTCCATCCGTGTCATTGCAAATGCAAGATTTCATTTTTTGATGGCTGCATAATATTCCATTGTTATATATACCACATTTTCTTTATCCATTCATCTCTTGGTGGACACCTAGGCTCTTTCCATAGTTTGGCTATTGTGGACATTGATGCTATAAACATTGGGGTGCAGGTGCCCCTTCAGATCACTACCTTTGTATCTTTGGGGTAAATACCCAGTAGTGCAATTGCTGGGTCATAGGGTAGCTCTATTTTCAACTTTTTGAGGAACCTCCATACTGTTTTCCAGAGTGGCTGCACCAGCTTGCATTCCCACCAACAGTGCAGGAGGGTTCCCCTTTCTCCGCATCCTCGACAACATCTGTCGTTTCCTGACTTGTTAATTTTAGCCATTCTGACTGGTATGAAGTGATATCTCATTGAGGTTTTGATTTGGATTTCCCTGATGCCGAGTGATGTTGAGCACTTTTTCATGTGTCTGTTGGCCATTTGGATGGCTTCTTTGCAGAAATGTCTGTTCATGTCTTCTGTCCATTTCTTGACTGGATTATTTGTTCTTTGGGTGTTGAGTTTGATAAGTTCTTTATAGATTTTGGATACTAGCCCTTTATCTGATATGTTATTTGCAAATATCTTCTCCCATTCTGTTGGTTGTCTTTTGGTTTTGTTGACTGTTTCCTTTGCTGTGCAGAAGCTTTTTATTTTGATGAAGTCCCAGTAGTTCATTTTAGCTCTTGCTTCCCTTGTCTTTGGTGATGTTTCTAGGAAGAAGTTGCTGCAGCTGAGGTTGAAGAGGTTGCTGCCTGTGTTCTCCTCAAGGATTTTGATGGATTCCTGTCTCACATTGAGGTCTTTCAACCATTTTGAGTCTGTTTTTGTGTGTGGTGTAAGGAAATGGTGCAGTTTCATTCTTCTGCATGTGGCTGTCCAGTTTTCCCAAAACCATTTGTTGAAGAGACTATCTTTTTTCCATTGAACATTCCTTCCTTTGTCAAGATTAGTTGATCATAGAGTTGAGGGTCCATTTCTGGGCTCTCTATTTTGTTCCATTGATCTATATGTCTGTTTTTGTGCAAGTACCATACTGTCTTGATGATGACATCTTTGTAATAGAGCTTGAAGTCTGGAATTGTGATGCCGCCAGCTTTGGTTTAATTATTTTTTAAGTAGGCTCCATGCCCAGCATGGAGCCCAATGTGGGGCTTGAACTCATGACCCTGAGATAAAGACCTGAGTTGACATCAAGAGTTGGACCCTTAACCAGCTGAGCCACCTAGGTGCCCCGAAACTTGTATTTCCTAATCTCACCTTATAGTCTTTCAGTGACAGACCTGTTTTTATAAAGTAAAGAGTGAAAAGCTTAAGTGTCCAATGAAGCAAAATGCCCAGTCCTTATATCTTCTATCATAATATCATTCTGCCTCTATACAGGCCCAGCTCCCTCAGGAAAATTAATTTAGGGTTGCATTTGTTTACACTCTATATTCTTAGTAACTCTTGGGTTATTTAGTTATTCTGAAAGATTATTAAACATAAGGGGTGGGGGGACCTTTTCCAACAACACTGGTGATGAGGTCCAGTAATTTAAGCTCCCAGAAAATTCACTTGCCCCTAGTGGCCATTCTGTGGCCGTTCCATAGCAGGTTCTAGGAAAGCACAGACATCACTGTGAGGCCTAGACTCAGTATTGCTGGGCAGTTAGAGTTTCCATGTATACAAGCCAGTAGATGATGCACTTGTTGGAATAGAAGATCTGCTGATGGACTAGCCAGTCTGAAGAAACAGATGAGTCCAGGATGACTTGTGTGTGTCTTGGTATTAAAACGGGTAGGAATGTGCCTTGCAAAGAAGAGAGGATAGAGCATTTTGCTGAGACAAGATACCTAGTGACCCCAGGGAATGATGAAAAATTTATGTGTATGGAGCTTGGAATGGGGGCTACAATTATATTTGAGACTAGAGGTTAGCTTGGAGCCAGCTTGTGAAAGTCCTGAACTACCATACCAAGGAATTTTCCGAGCTTATGAAAAGGTTTTTCTAGAAGGGATTATGTGGCAAATTGATTAGGAAGATAAAAAAAACTAACTGGTAGAAGATGGCCTGTGTATTGTATCAGTTGGTCAAATTACAATTCAGCTTATTTTATATATTATCTCATTTAAATTCTCAGAAGGACATTGCATACTAGATGAGATTTTTCACATTTCACACAGAAGAAACAAAGGCTTGAAGCATGTTGTCAAGTTGTCTAGTCACCCAGTAGTGAACATTAAGCACAGGTTATCTGAGGTGAGTGCTCTTCCTACTTACCTAGCTATTCCAGGGATGGTTGACAATGGCACGTTAAAACTTGGACAACCAAGACCGCATCTGGATCTGTCCCAGGGTATGGAGACCAGCTGTTTCTCCCAGGACGCTGCTCCCTGCACGTGTGAATTGCCCGCCCTGTCCCTACTCTCTTGCTGGTCCGTGGTTGAAATTCTTCCATGGCCCTCAATAGGCTAGGAGGGAATAGACATTTGGCCAGCTGGTATATCCACATATTCCCCAAACCTGTCTTTCTTGGGGAGACAAATATGAGTGAACAGAAAGGAAGGGTTCACTCTGCCATATTCTTATTTGTCTTTGCTTCTGTGGAGCACCCAGCCATCATGCACCCATCACCGCTCTGTCAGAGCCTGTGAGGAAGTAGCCCCGGCAAAGTGGAAGCTGTGTGATGTGCGGGGAAAGGGCAGCACCAGCTCCATAACAAGGCACCTGGACGCTGGCTTTTAGTCTCGTCTCTTACTTGAGGAACCCCAGCATATCTCACAACCTCCCTGGGGCTCAGTCTTTCCATCCACATGATGGGCGAACTAAGGAGGGCTCTGAACTACACGAGGTCTATTATCTTCTATTTCTCCACCACAGAAAAGAGTTCACAGTGCATGCAAGTGAAGAGAATAATGTAACTACTTGCCTGTCAGCTGGGGGCTTCTGATTTTGTTGTGTGTCATGAGTGCTTGGAGGTGGCAGTCTGGCCCCAAAGCTTACTTGAAGCTGCATCTGCAAAGCACACCCTTAGTTAAAATTCAGTGGAAATAGTACTTCCTAAAGCTACCGTTTACCCACATGAACATGGGATGAAGAAGATGTCAGCCATCTGCATTACACAACATGAGTTCTGTGTAGAGTGACTTGGAGGGAGCTGGTGGGAAATGGGAGGTTGGGAGGGGTTGGCCTCCGAGTCACTGATGGTCACTGATGCCATGTTTTGATGCCTGTGGTACTTTTCAGGATAACCAGAGACACACGGTAACTGATTTTAAGAAATAATAGTAAAGATAAGATTTTGCCCTAGGACTCTGTTCTTATTTTATTTATTTCTTTAAATTAACACAACGCCCTTTTAGGGCTATAGTAAAAATGTGCTTGAGTAGTTGACATGAGGCTAAATCTAGGATCCAAAGCGGCACAAATCAGTGGGGCCTGAAAAGGCCCAACGTGGCTGACCGATGTGCGGTGCCTCCGTCAGGATGGGTTATGTTCAGACTTCAGGCCAAGTAAGCTGAATATTTTTAATAATAGAAAAATATGATTCCTGCGTGCCTAACAAAATGACTCTCACATATCAGAATTCAATAAATACTTGGTAAGTACAGAAGTGAATATGACATTATTATAGAAAATTTGGAAAGTTGAGAACAAAATTGCTCATAATCCCAACATGTTAACGTCAGTAGTCACTAATATTTGTGTGTGTGTGGGTGTATTTGTGTTCAGCCATACACACAGGATTAGTTTGGATTTTAATATGAGCACAATGTAGACAGTTTTGATTTCTGATGCCTAAAATTTAAAGTTTTATGATAAGCACTTTGCAAATTGCTATACTGTTTTTATAATTTCTAATTTTAATGATGGCATAATGTTCTATCTAATAATTTATCATAAGTTAGTTACCATTTGTTTTATATCAGGCAATTAGATTGCTTTTGAGGTTTTATTTTATAGTCTTATTCCAGTTAAAATCTTCATGCCAATACTGTTTTCTTCTTTTTAATCATTTCCTTATAGTAAATTATCAAAACTGGTAATTGTGGTTGTAGAAATGATTCCTCCTTTTTTCACTGTAACCAGGACTCTGTCTGAATGCTAGTTTCATCATATACTGCCTACTTTTGCATATTGGATTAAAAAAATCTATATTTACTAGTTTAATAGTGCATATGGTCCCTCATGTTGTTGTTTTCCTCACGGAAGAAAAGCTGATATAACAAAAGCCTATTCACTGGTTAAAGTTGTATGCCAACATTTCACTTTGGTTCTCTCTGCCTCACTAGTCCCTTGTTAAATATGCTGTCTCTGGTAACGTGGGGCTGGCTTGTCTCACTGTTCAATCCCTTTTTGTGTTGAAGCTGTCTGTGGAAGCACGTAAAGAGATGACTAAGAAGGCTATTCAGACAGTCAAACATTTTACTGAGAAGCTGCGGAAAAGAAATTTGGAAGAGGACATTCAAGAAGCTAGTGACTCTAAAATGACCTATGCAGATGCCCTGAATCATCTGGAGAAATCACTTGCTCACCTGGAAACCCTCAACCACAGCTTCCTTGTTTCTCTGAAGAATAGTGAGCAGGTAATGAAGTGAAAACTTGTTCCCCATGCTCACTCACTCAGATAACATCAGTACCCACTTTCGTTTCTCCTTTCAAGCCATATTAGTGGTTTTGCCAGGGTTTTCAATCTTGCAGATGTCTTTAAAAACGGTCCTCCATCATTTATCCTTTAGCTTCTTCATTACCTCTTGATTGTCGATTTGGTTTTCAGTTCTTTGAGGCCGCTTATCAGGATTAATCTCTGGCAGGGAGGAGGTGGGAAGGATGGGGGAAAGAACCCTGAGTTGAACTCAGGTTGGGTACCTGGGGGAGGGAGCGGTCACTGAAGCTGAGAAGCGATCAGGACAGTGGTTTGCAAGCCCAACAAGCTGGTAGGTGTTTTGCTGTCTCAACTGAAAAATGATAGATTTTTTTCTCCCTCATTTTCAGAAAAATTCAGAAAGAGCCATCTGTACCTGCTTCAACAGGTTTTTTTTTTCTTTTTTCCAGTTATATGCACTTGTCCTATTTTTTTGTATTTCATGTTTCCAATATCATTTTATTATTGATATAAATTATTTTGGCTAGTAGAATTGTTCCTACTTGGTTTCCAGTTGAGACTCTCATGGTGTCTCAGAAAATACCCTCACAAGAGTCCGGAGCCGCTGCCCATGAGGAAACGTGAGGCCCAGTGTGTGAGGACAGCTCGGGGAAATCCTCTGTAGCTTTTGTAGTTTTTCTTCTGTACCGTTCCAGCCCAGAGAGTTTTAGCTATTCTTTTCCATAACTGAGAAGTTGACAGATCAATCAGTAAATGGTTTCATGTAGGTGAAAACAATGTTTAGATGCCTAAGTAATTTTGCATTTGCCCATTTAATGTTGATGGTAAATGAAGCTCTAAGTGGCCACTAATCTCCTCTTTTATTTTTCTCACACCGTACATGTTGATTGAATTGTATTCTTGGCTTGTGGAGAGCTCTTCCTGATAGAAAGGCGGGTCAGTGGAGAGCAGTTCAGATAATGAACAAATGGAAGACTTCAAAATTTGTATGAGACACATAAATGCAAAGCCCTCATGGAAAAGATGATGGGAAGAATTCAAAAGTTTGATAGTAGTTTTATTTCATTTTGTATTTTTCAGTGCTATTAGCCTGTCTAATGAATCACGTTAAATGATGTACAAGCAATAGAGAAGGCTTTGCAGGGAACAAATTGGCTTTACCAATCTGGATTTTATCCTACTGACATGTACAGCGCTATAATCCCTAATTATGAGAACTAGGGTGAAATTTGAATTCTTCAAGTAAAAGTGATTATACTTATTAGTATAAAAATTAAATATTTGTCTTATTTTTTAAATTAAATATACGGTGCTCAAATCTGGAGAATTGTCATCCCTCTCCTTGGAACAAGTATTGTCTTTGAGTGACTAGAACAATGTATATGAGGTCGGGGGGATGATTAACAGAAACAGCCGTTTGTTCGCGCTCGGCTGTGATTTAAAGGTACCAGTGGCTGCTTGCAAATGCCATTCGGTCAGACCATGGATGGTCCATAATAGCAGACACTTCTGGTCCCTAAAGTGGACCTTATTTGATTTTATTCAGGTGCTTTTCATAGCAAACACTGGAAATCACTTTCAGCTTCATACATTTGTCCCTTTTAAGTTCAGACCTTAATTTTAACCTCTTCGCTTGTACACCCAGTGCAAGAAGATCCCCTGTACCCTAGGTGAGTGCAGTCTAAACGAGAGGCCTTTATCCTGTGGTGCCTCGGTTCCCTCTTGCTCAGGACGCATATGAGTAGCTGCCCTGTTGCACTCACGGGCATTTTCTGTTACTAGAAGTTTCACAGCGGGGAGAAGAGTAAAATGAAATGTCGTGTGCTAAACTCCCAGGGCAGTCATTCACCAGTGATCAGAATATGACCTCTCTTACTTCATGCATACTCCCACCTCCCCTCATCCCGCTCCTGTGGATTATTTTAAAGAAAATCCCAGTCATTGGTTTACTTTATCCGTAAATACTTGCACATCTGTTTCTAAAGGATGCATGTAAACACACTACTAGAACATGATCACAATAAAAAAAATTAACAGCAGTTCTTTAATATCATCAACTATCCAGCTAAAGTTTGGATTTTACATGGTGGTTCTGAAAGACAAGAGAGCATATTCAAGATTACCTGAGAAGCTATACAGAACCTGGAAAGCATTCTTTACCCTAAGTGACCGTGTTTGGTATGATGAAAAACAGTAGCTTGTGGCCTGTTTCATACATTATTTATTGTCACGTTGGTTTTTACAGACGTTATCAGAGGGGCAGGTGTGTGGCATGGGGGCCGGGAAATGTAGTCTTTTGGATTCTGATCCTCATTTCCCGAATTGCTAGCCATGTGACTCTGGGCACGTTACTTTACATTTTCGGTTTTCAGTTTACTTTTTGGCAAAATGGAACTAATGAAAACTCTTTGCAGGATTATTAGAAGCATTAAATCAGGTGACACACGTGTACTACCTGGGTTTGGCAGCTGGTGGTTGTGGACCTGAGCTGTCACGTGGTTGTGGCCCAGTCACAATAATAAACTTACGCTTCATGAGCTTTACTTTGGGCCTGACGTTGTGCTACAGGCCTTTTACATTCTCTCATTTAATGTTCACGACACGCCCTGTTCGCAAGAATCTCTGTCCTCGTCCTCATTTTGCAGCCGCTGAAGGCCCACAGACTACTACGTGGTAAAGCAAGGATCTGTCCCCAAGCCTGGTGTCCCTGGAGCCCTCGCTCCTACTGACCACTGCCTGTTCTTCAGTGTGGGGTTTGAGAATCTTCTAAATATGCTTCGTTGCGTACATGTGGACACACTGAGTTCCTGTTTGATACTCAGGTGTTGCATGCCATATCTTTGCAGGAAACACTGCGGAGGTACGGTGACCTCTATGATCTGTCCCGATCAGAGAAAGGGAAACTTCATGACCAAGCTGTGGCCATGTGTCTGGACGGTCTGCCTCTAAGAATGATTCAGCAGCTGCTGCAGGTGGCCGTGGGCCCTCTCGACATCTCGCCCAAGGATGTGGTGCAGGATGCAGTAAGGAAGATCCTTTCTGCATTGAGGTAGGCTAGAGAAGAGTCGTTGGAACGGAGAAAAAATACCACGTATGTAGAAGCATTTTATGAACGATGAAGTACTTTATAAAAGCGGGACATGTTCATGAGATTTCTCAGAGTCTTGTGTCTTAAGAGATCTTGAGAATGGAGAACCATGAAAATGCTTCCCCACTGGTGTTGTGTGTAATGTGTCCTCAAACTAACTTTCAGCTAGACCCTCTTCTCCCCCGGCCCCCAAATAATTCTTGAAATAGGGTAAGGCCAAAATGGCCTGTGTGGGAGGTAGCCGAGTGTCAGGTTGTCTTGGGACCCAGGTGGATGTGCAGCTCTTGGCTTTTCTACTTCCCCTTCCTTGTAGAGGCTGCCAAATGGGTCCCAGAAGCTCCTGTTGAAGTACACAAGGCAAGGTTAATCATATACTGAAGGTTTAGACATCTGTTAAGTGTCTTAGAGTTTTATTTACCTGCAGTTGATGGCATGAAACCAACAACTGAGAAGTTCGAGCTCTCTGTCAGTGTGCCCATGTCTTCGTGGGAATGCATCCAGGAGGGTTAGGGAAGGGGGGGGAAAGTTAAGCTCAGAAAAGAATGAGGCATGAAGTGCTTTCTGTGAATAATGCAATTAGGCTGAAAGATTTGGTTGTGTTTAATGTATTCTCTTTTTAAGCCTTCTTTGTAATTCTTCATTGCTCTTGAGGAACTTTTTGATTAAATGCATGTCAGTTTTCCACAGCTGAACTGAAATCAAATGAGCCTTTATCAGTTTAATTACCCCAGCCTCCTACAGTTTTCACCTTAATGATCTGCGGTATCTGGTAATTTGAGAGAGAGAGAGAGAGAAATATAACATTTTTTTAAGAAATAACAAATGTCAAATTAATAAAACTTTGTTCTGTTATTAGCTTATTATGTTTTGGTGGTGGCTGTAAGAGCCACCCGCTCTCCTCTCTCAGATGATGACAGACACTTGTTGGTCATATTTTGCACCTTTTGATCCATAGCTATCTTCTTATTTTTTCTGAAATTGAGATTTAGATGAGCCTCACAAAAACATTTTGAAAACTTATCGCTTTGACAAATTTAGTTTATTTCCTAAAAATTACACATTGTCATGAATAATTAAAATAAAATGTGATGTGATATTTTTACAGTTATAGAATTCTGACATAAATTATACTTCTCTCTCTTTCCCTGCGCCCAGTTCCACTTGTAAAGACGGTTCTTCTCCAATAAATGTTACGCTTAGCACAGAGAAGACATTCAGTAAATGTGAACTAAATCTTTCTGCAGTGGGAGGAAAGGGAATTTCAGGAGTTCAGCTACCTCCTTTTCAAAGGAAAAGCAATTGCCATTGACAGCATCCATAACATTTACCTTTTAGAAAGTTAGTACAATTCAGTAGATATAAAATAACAAAGGCACGTAAAGAACTGAATCCAGCAGTTGATTTAAATCCTATCACTTAAATTGTTCAGAAAACTCACCTAAAACTTTTCTTCTATTGCTTTTTCAAAATTCAGTGAAGTCCTAGACATACACAGTTATAAAATGGGCATAATAATAGTTCCTATCTCATAGACCGCTGGGAACTAAATGGTAGAAAATATGTAAAGCACTTGTACCTGGTAAGTACCACATAAATAATTCATTTGTTTTTTTTTAAGTCCATCTGGAGAACTTAGATGATGATATATTTAATGCTTAAAATAGCTCATATATTTAATGTCCATTGAATGTTTT